TCGCCGCCCGCACGAGTGCCGGAGCGTGTGCGAGAGGCGGCGAGGGAGACACCCGCACTCGCACACCCGCACACACCGGAGCGCCGCGCGGGGAGGGCAGCGGAGGGGAGGACAGCCGCTCCCCGCCGCCCACGTCTACGCGCCCGGGCGCCCCGGGTGCCGGTGGTGGAGGGGAGGAGAGGGTGGTGGCATGAGGGCTCCTCTTTGCTTCCCGCCCTCCCTCCCCGAGGCACTTGGAGCTTTAGCGTCACCAAAGCCCCGGACACCAGTTAATCAACAAGGCGCTCCAGGCGACATGAAGAGCCCCCCCCCCCGCGCCCTTAACCAAGCGAGGCAAGTATGTCCCCGCTGGCCAGGGTCAGGGCCAGACCTCCTTCGTCCTTTCTAGCCATCCCGGTAGGTCCTACCTCATCCGAGCCGGGATTGCAAGCTACCAGAAAGGGAGTTGGGGTTTCTGCGAGTCTTTGCCTCTCCCTAGTGGTGATGTTCGCAGCCGAGGAAAGAGTTCAAACCCATTGCTACAGGTACCTAAACTGAGGCCAAGGATCAAGGAGGGTGTTTGAGACTATTGGGCCATCAAATGTACTGAACTTAAACTCTCCTCCAGTGCCCACACAAGCTCAAAGACAGACCAGCACCTGATGACACTTGACAATCCCCGTTCTCCAATCTTGGTTCCTGCGTCCAGGCCAAGTAAGAAACGCTAAGTGTCTAAGAATGAGCTTGGAAACCTTTATGTCTCTGCGCTGAAATGTGTCTGCTGTAGCTGATGGGAGGGGTGAAGCATGCAAAAGGGATGTTGAAAGGCAAGCATATTCACGAATATGGCCAAGTCCCTGGAAAAGAGACCTTGATCTAACTTTCCCAGCTACAAGGCCATCCTATGAGGGACGCACAGTGTAGGTCTATTGGTACCTGTCTTTGGAGGAGATGAGAGAGAACGAGAACAATCAGTAACCCAAGACAGAATTCTGCTTGCCCTGCGTGCTTTGGTTAAAGGCAGGAGAGAGGCTGTGTAGATTTTTCCCTTCATCCCTTCAGAACTGCTCATGGGTGGCCCTAACCAGACACCTATCCTGGTAAAAGTTGAACACTTCCTTTGGCAACCCTGAAATGGGTGAATTGAAGCTGGAGCTCGGGTTTCAAGACACAAGAGGGAGGTACTGATCCTAGGATGGGAAGGAAGGTGAACCCCCACTTCCCCTGGCATCTCTCCATGTGCTACTCTCTCTTCCTTCTGCTCCCTCTCCTCTTCCTTCTGTTTCCAGCTTCTTCTCTTCTTAATGGTTCTGATCAACACACATTTGTTTCTCATGCCCTCCGCCACACAGAGTAATGGCTAAGATACAGAACAAAGAAGTTAGTACCTTTACTCAAAGAGGATGAGCTTGTCTGCTGGGGGTGGAGGAAAGAGAGATGGGGAAAGGAGAGAGAGAGAGAGAGAGAGCTCAAATGATTTCCATATGGGACACTTAAGTCTCAACACAAAGATGGGTAGAGTGCTCTAAGAGCAGGTGTCAGGAACCTAGCCTAGTCCTAGAAGGGATAGTGGAGGCCAAAGATAACTTCTAAGTGAGATAATGAGCAGTGTCTTCAGGAATTATTAAGAGTTAATGAAAACAAGTCAGAAAGGAAAGATGTCTCCAGCAGAGGGAACAAGAAAACCAGCAAGAAGAGTGTGGTATGTGAACTAGAAATGCAGAGTTTCGCATCAATCCTGAGTGAGTCTTCCCAATGGGCCAGCAGGAGGGCATCGAAGCTCCCACCAATGAACTTGAATTTATTGGACAATTGATGGGAAACTATGAGTGGCTTTTAATAAGGGGCAGACACTGTCAGAATTTTATGTTTTTCTGGATCTCTAAGTTAAGTGGAGTAGAGCGAATACTGCACTGGATGCAGGAAAAGCAATTTGGAAGATGTGCCGGTGATCCACGTGCAAATGATGACTGGTGGTGGATGTCCATATTGATCAGCGGATGATCAGCCTTGCCAAATGAGCAGATCCAGAATAGTTAACAATAATCTTTGAAGTGCCACTAATAAGTGTGAGTGAAACTGTACAATTGAATACTCAGGAGACAATAAGGCATATACTTTTGGTACTTTCGAGAACACATTTGAAGACAACAGCCCAACACCTTTTGATTCCCACACAGTGTGCAATTTCTAAGTCAGTCTTTCCTTCCTTGGGCTTGCTCATCCTCTTCTCATTATTACAGAATTTTCTTTTTCCATATCTGGGAGCTCCACAGGAATAGGTAGGGAAAAATAACACCACTCTGTCTTATGGGACCCTGATAAGATTTGATCAGAGGCACTGATTAAGAGAAATTGATTTTCTCAGACCTCCCCTCTCACACATATAAATGTATTCCGTACCCTCCCCCCCCTATGCTTACATATGGTGTTATCAGCAGAGTCACAGAAAATAATAGTACTTTAGGGTGGGATAGGATCTTAAGGGTTGTTTATTTCAACCCACATTGCAGTATACTGTCTATTTTTATTAATATTTTCAGCCTTCCTGTTTTGCTCTTTGAGATTGACCAGGGTACTTTCCCATAAACATGTACTTCTATCTTCTCTTTCTAGTTCCAATATCTAAACTGTTAACAGTATTGAAGCATTATTCCTTTGTGGAGCTGGCTTCATTAAAAAGTGCCAGAGAAGGGCTAGCAAAGCAGAAGCCTTGCATTCAAACCATCAAAAAAAAATCCATGTAAGAATCTTTTTGCCAACATGAATACTATTTTCAGAAAACCCTGAGAATAAGGAAGAAGTGTGCTAATCCCTGGCTTTAATAGGTTGATCCTAATTAGACTAAGCAAGCCATAATAATAATAACAACACTGATTGGCTAACAATGGCTATGTGATTTAGTCTTAACCATTATTAACTGAGAAGTCTGTTGGAGGGATTCTGGGTTTAAAAAAAGGTTTAAACTTAATGGAAGAAAGACAGCCTCTTCAGAAAATGGTGCTGGCAAAATTAGTTAACTACTTGTAGAAAACTAAAGCTAGATCCTATATCACCCTGCACCAGAATCAGCTCCAAATAGATCAAAGACCTTGGAGTCAAAGCAGACACCCTGAAAACATTGCAGGACGGAATAGGAGAAACCCTAGGTCTCCTTGGCACAGGCCAAAATTTTCTTAATAAAGACCCAGAAACACAACAAATAAAAGAAAGGGTGGACAAATGGGATTGCATGAAATTGCAGAGCTTCTGCATGGCAAAGGACATAGCTAGCAAGATCAATAGAAAGCCCATGGATTGGGAGAAGATCTTCAGACAAGGGTCTCATATCTAAAATATACTTGGAAGTCAAAAAATTAAATCCCCCAACAAATCCTCAAAGAAACAACAGCCCAATAAATAAATGGGCTAAAGACTTAAAGAGAAACTTCTATGAAGAGGAAATAAGAATGGCCAATAGACACATGAAGAAATGCTCAGCCTCTCTAGCCATAAAAGAAATGAAAACAACATTGATATTCCACCTCACCCCAGTTAGATTGGCTATAATAAAGAACTCTAATAACAACAGATGCTGGAGGGGATATGGCCAGAAGGGAACCCTACTGCCTTGTTGGTGGGAGTGTAAACTTGTTCAACCACCTTGGAAAGTAGTATGGAGGTTCCTCAAAAGACTCCACATAGAGCTCCCGTATGACCCAGCAATACCACTTTTGGGCATTTACCCAAATGATCACAAACACGACCATACTAAAGCTACCAGCACAACTATGCTTATTGCAGCATTATTTACCATAGCTAAGATATGGAACCAACCCAGATGCCCCTCAGTAGATGAATGGATCAAGAAAATGTGTTATATATACACAATGGAATTCTATGCCTCCATCAGAAAGAATGACATCTTCCCATTTGTTAGGAAATGGAAAGACTTGGAAAAAATTATACTAAATGAAGAAAGCCAGGCCCAAAGAAATGGTTTCCAAATAATGGTTTCCATTATTTGCAATAACTAGTATATGTCTGGGACAAACAGAAAGGTCAGATAAGATGATGATAAGTGAAATGAACCCCAAGATAGGGACACAAGTGGATTTTTCTTTCTTGCTATTGTATCTAATGTATTTGTAAGGTACCATGTGATATTTTTGTTGCTTTGTATGTCCCTCCCCCATGGTATAACTCCTGTATTTGATGTTGGCATAATTTGGGGAGGGGAAGGGAGAAAACAAATTGTTTAAACCGGGATACAGGTTGACCCATTGCAGCAATGAGATATACAAGACACTATGCTGAAAAACAAATTTTACAATTTGGGCAGGGGTGATGGAGTATAGCTGAGGAGGTAGGAGGGAAGGGATGGTAAGGGAAAAACAAAAGAGGAGGCAACAATGCTTGATAAGAAATGTACTCATTACCTTGCTCATGTAACTGTAACCCCTCTGTACAGTAGTTTCACAATAAAGAAACATATTTTTTAAAAAAGGCTTATACTTAAAAGAACCTTAATTCTTGTGAGTATTGTTTCTCTTAATGAAATGACTGAGCTTGGGGAATCAGCTGCAACCAGGAGTTGATATTCAGTTTGGTAGTCATTAACATTGTTAAAATGTCTTTGACTTAGGTATATAGTAGAATTGTAATTCCTGGCCCACTTGTGAGTAGGAGAGGGAAATGATTAGTAGTGGTCAACAGTTGTGAACAGCAATTAAATGTCTTCTTCCAGAAGCAAACCATATGTGTGGCATTCTTTTTGGCATTGTGATCAGCAACCTTCCATATGGCAGTGGTTCAGTTAGCCTGGGTCCTTACCTGAACACGGTGCCCCACCATTGACAGGTAGCATACATAAAATATATACTTTTTCATGTGTAAAGCCACTAGAATTAAAGTGTGTTGTTGCAGCACACCTTAGCTCATCCTGGCTGCTGCTCCAAGAATGGCACAGATGGAGTAATGAAAAACACTCATGGAACCATATTCTGGCTCCCCCCCATCTCTGACCTGCTAGCATTATGAGATAACTCAATTTTCTTTTGTCTGAATCCAGTTTTTCTTACAGCTAAATGCAATCCTTATGAGTTCAACAAGGAGTTTCTATCTCAGTTCTGACTTTTTCTAGGGTCTTAATCTACCTATGCAGCCAGATACTAATCATATCACTCCTGTCAGATTCATTTTTCTTCTTTACAAAATGGGGGCTTAGATAGAAGGATGGTCTCTAAGAGGTCATCACGCTTGTCTCCTGTAGAAGTCTTTGCTATGGCTTTCAAGTATGAACTTGGCCTCCAAATTTAATATAATCTGTTCTTCTATCTCATTTTCCTCCATCTTTCTCCTCATATCCTACTTCTGATCACACTGGTACCCTTGCTTTTTCTCAAAGCCTTAGTCTTTTCACTGTTCTCTGTTT